TGTGATGCCTGCTGGCATAACTAGAAGTGTGTTTGCCTGGGAAATGAAATGAAGGAAAAGGCAGAGAGGAGAAAAATCTGGAAGACAAATAGTGGTGGAAATGCCAACCTTTACTGACCTCAGTAAAACTGCCTAGAGATGACAAGAAATTCAGGGTGGAAAAGTTGATGATTTATAGACTGCTTGTAAGAATGGCTCATATCTAGTGCTATGAATTCGAAGTAAGGACACATTATCTGTCAAAATACAAAGCTGTCCTCAAAAACAAATGTTTCTGAAAAATGATTGGCACAAGGCGAGGAGAGAAAAATGATCATGAACAATTCTTCTGGAGTGTCACTGTGATTAGGCCCAAAAATTATTGGATGAATTCCAGCCTTCCAAAAGCTGATATAGAAAATAGCCTTGTAAATATTAAATGATAAATTTTGAACAGCCTGACATATACTTACTTGCATGTACAATAAACATACAGGTAAGTTTTTTCTTTTCTGTTACCATAATACAAGAATTTCTCTATCAGATACACAATGTCAGATATGCCTTGGGAGAAAATACCAATGCTTTGTTTAGTTGGAAAAAACACAAATGTTTTGCAGCAGTTATTTATCTTCCCAGTCTGTATCAAGTACAGTGGCTAGGAAAGAGATCTTTTTATTTTGTACTGTAATCTGAAGCAGAGGTATTAAAAGAACTGAAAACTAGAATAAATAGTGGCTTCTGCTTGTGGAAACATTATAGTCCAAGTAAAGCCATTTAAATCCAAGCATATTACAAGTGTGAAAAGAAAAACATATACCTATATATGCAGTCTTTATTCAGGCAGTCAAAACTGATGTTATTATAGAGAAAGAATTCCTGCTAGGTCAGAAGTTTCATGCCACTCTAGGTACTCCAGTGGGAAGTGTCAGCCACATCTTGTTGTGTGTGCTAAATTCTATTGCACAATATCTCAGTGTACTTTGGACCTTTGGGTATCTATAACCCCAGGCAAACTGCTGGGAAAGCCTCTGCAGCTCCTGATATTTTACTGCTTAATTCAAAACTGCAGTTCAGTTGGATCTGAAAATAGTGGGGAGGCCCAGCTGGAGCCTGGCACAACTGAGAGGCTGTTGTGTAGAGGTGACATCCTTCCAGGGGACAGTTCAGGCTGACACCTGAAATGCTGTCACTCTTGTTGCAAGCCAGATGGAGACCTCCAGTTTTGGGTTGGTTTGTTTTCAGATAGCAATGTGACCTAAATGGTGCTGCAGTCAGTCACCAGCTCTGTGTGAGTTATGCACAAGTATGGTTACAAAATCATCCTCCTCCTGGTCCCCACACAGACTGACAAAAAGCCCTGCTGCTGTTAACCTGTGAAATAAAACTTTCCTCTTTGCTTCTTGCTATTTCGTTAACTTCTACAAAGGTGGGCAAGGAAGGCAAATTTCTGTGCATGCCACATCTACCTTCTCATTATATGTATTCAAACAGTTTAAGTATTGTTTTATTGTATTATTAGGTTTTATTATTGTATTTTTAAATTTTATTATTATGTTTTTTAAGTACTCCTTTTAACCATTAAATCCCCGTACATATAAAATTTCCTGGACCTGCTAGGAAATGATGCATTTCTCAGAAGCACTTTTCATCATCTTAGGGCTGTGCAAACCAAGAGAGTTTTTCAAGAAGCTGGCACTTTTTGTTTGTGATGGGAGCGAGGGGCTGGCATTATCTTAGAGGTCTTTTCCAACCTTACTGATTCTGTGTATTGCAGTTACTGTAGACTATATGATGACTGAGGAGTATTTGGGGTTCTCTTACTGTGTTATGTGTTGGAGTGAACCAGCTCAGTCCAACACCACCATTAGACTGCTTGCAGAAAGCAATGCACAGAACTTGCATGTTGGTGATTTTTACTGTGAGTTAAATTTTTGCTAAAGGTGATTTTTACTGTAGAACTTATACTAAAGGTAACTCAAACACAGGCTTGTGCTAAGTCCAGAAGCAAGACCCTTTCATTTGTACTGTTTGCCTCCTGATCCACCTCTGCCTCTGAGTGTGACTGCTGCTTGCTGTGGGAGAAGAAGTCATTGTACAGCTGCCAATTCTTTGACTGACAAAAGACATGAGCCATCAGTACTCTGCTGTTAGAAGTGGAAGTTGTCTTCTCTTGCTAATTCTGTTACTTATAGGCAGAAAGACACTCTCTTCCTGTCTCATGTTCCAAGCCCCTGTAGAAGTTGGGTAAAACCAACAAACATATGCATTTCAATTGTGCTTTAATTCCAGATTTGCTCGTTAAATTTCTAATGTCATAGGGGGAAAAAGTGCATTTAGCAAACAATGTGGTACATTACATTTTGATTATGCATTACTAGAACAAGGCAGTGTCATAATTTATGTCTTGAGGTTATTAAAATGTTATAATGCTAAATAGTTAACGAAGAAAATCTATCACAGCTGTGACACAAAGGGATTGCCAGTAGTGCTAGGACAATAAATTCCAGCAGTTCTGTGTCTCTTTGAGCAAACCAAGTTATCATGTGTTTGTTCTCTTGGTGCTGCAGCATGTTAAACAATACAAGGACAACTCTAATGAGTCAGAGAAAAGCACAAATAGCTCAGTGCCCTACCTCTGACTGAGGCTATAAACTGACACTTTTTAAAAAAGGATTCAGCACAATGCATGCATTCAGTGATAGTTCCCTCAAATGTTTCTCTCTTGCAGCTTTCTGTCAAGGGGAATGTTCTGTAATCAGTAATTTATGTCCTCCATTAATTTGTCCAGTCCCTCAGCTTCCTCTATTCCTGAATCAAGAATTCCATCAATTTTAATATTATAATTTATCTCCACAGATTTTAATCTTCAAAGTTATTTTAACATTTGATGCATTGACAATGTTATAAACCATTCATTCTTGTTTTCATGCATCCTTTTCTGCAGACCTGCTCCCTAGCTATTGGTTTCTATCACAGCTCATGCTGGCTTTGTAGGGCACTACTTGTCCAGGTTGCTTTTAATTCTCATCCTTTTTACATCAAAGCTCCCAGCTGTACCAAGTTCACCACCACATCCAGCTTTCCAGAGCTCGTTCTCTGCCAGCTGATGAACAAACAGTGGGCAGTGCTGGACTCCCAGGTTCTCAGTGAGCTCCTCTCAGCAGGACTCCCTGCTCCAACAGGGCATTGATGGTGGTTATCCACCAGCACTGCTTTGGGAACAGCAGCTCTCTGCAAGTCCAATTTACACCAGGCTCCTTAATAGACATGAGAATGTTTTGTGAGATGGTGTGAAAATCTTATTTAAAACTGTGGTAGCTACTGCTAACATCCCCGTTTCCAAGGCCTGCTATCCTGCTATAGCAACAAATGTGATTGCATTGACTTGATTTGCTCCTGATAAATCCATGGAGGCTATTACTTATCACCTTCTAGTATTCTAGCTGCTTACAAACAGGATTACAGCATTATGTATTTTAATAGGGACAAAATATAAATGAAGGCTTTAAAAAATTGAAACATCATTAATTTTGAAAATTTAATATTAATACAGCAGTTTACCTAAGGGCCTATGTTATGTGTCACAACTTCTGTCCTTTTACACTTCCTACACAAATCTTCTGGACACAGTGAGCCTTGCTGAAGTGCTCAGGGTCCCCTTTTCCTCCTCTCATTGCAAACACTACCAGCAAATGATGGCAGTACCTCCAGTGGGTGTGGGAATGAGCAAGCTGCTCCTGGCTGTGCCCCTGCTCCCAACCCTGGACTGAGGAGCACCTCAAGGCCCTGTATTAGCTGGGGATGGAGATGGAACGGCTCCAAACCCACGTTTCTCTTGAAGACATTCACCCAAAGTTTATCAGTTTTGGCTGACTTCTCAGTTACTGCTGTTTTGCTAACTTGCTAGATATGTGGAAAATAAAAAAATCTCCCTTTAAAACACAAACACCTAAGGCTGGGTATTGTTAAACAGAGCTGCTGGTTGACATCTCCCAGTTATTGACCCCATTTCTCATGCCATGGCCCCTCTAGAAGCTGCCAGACTCTGGCCATCTCTGGGGACGCCTCTGAGTCAGAGGCAGAACTGGAGTTAATGGAATGCTGCACTACAGCCCCAAGTGTCCACTGAACCCACCCACCCACCCTGGGCTCCTTGGCAGTCTAGGGCTCCTCTGGGTGGGCTTTTTGGGATCCAAGTCACAATCTGGGTCTTTATGCAGGATTGGCTTTAACTTCACCTGCCTGAACCTTTCTTTCCTTGTCCCTCTGCTTCAGCTACAGGAGCTTTGTGCTGTCTGGATCTATTTGAGAGGGAGAAAGCAATCTTGTCTTTTCTTTCATATGGCACAAAGAAAAATATACTTTAGAATTAATATCTGCATGCACAAAGGATGTGAGTTGTTTACCAGGCTGCACACACGGTTTTCAATTTTTACTGACTGCAACTTGCACAGATTGTGACAGTCCCTGAAATGAGTGACACCTCTATTGTGTAAGTGGTGTCAGACAGAACTCTCCCTCACTATACCCACAGAACAGTATTATGTCAGACCACATTGTAGTCTCTGGTTAATACTGTTTAATTGTAGTAATCTGTGGTTTTTACTAGTTTATTGTGAATAAGCTTTTATTATTTGCATTTTGAAAATTCTCTCACTTTTCTGTAGTTTCTGAGGATTTTAGTTTCTATTCTGCAACTGAGGGAGCACATCAGTGAACTACAGGACAGAAGTACTTTCAGATTAGTGGTAAAGAATGGGAAGGAAACATAAAAGTATGGGATAATTGGTGTCTTTTTGCTTTGTCCTACAAACAGCAGATCTTGTTTCTCCTGCATGCAGTGAAACACCAGCTTTTTGCTGTATTGGCAGGATCAATGCTGGCTAAAACATCTCTGTGGATTTGTAGCTCAATGCCCTGAATCAGCAGCCCTTCAGGAGGGCTCTGTGCTCTGGGTCTGCTGTAGCATCTCCTTGGCTGGACACACTAGAAATGTGCACACAAAGAAATACACTTTATTGTAAGTCAGGAACAAGTGCTCACTCCAAGTTTTTATTGAAATTGAACACAGTATTCAAGCATAGTTCTGGTTGAGAATCTAGACAGCTAATTTCTGGTTTTACAGTATGTCTCAGTGAACCCTTCTGGCGTGCATTCCCAGGAACATGGAAGTGAGCAGGCACCTCATCTCTCAGCCAACCACCACCGTGTCATCCCCAATGAACTGGTAAGTTGGGACCTCGAGGTTTAAGGGAGCAGGGCCTTTCCTGATCCTGCCAGAGGCGTCATAGTGGGAGCCGTGGCAGGGGCAGTAGTAGCCGCCGAAATCCCCGGAGTTGGCGATGGGGACGCAGCCCAGGTGAGTGCACACACCCACCAGGATCACCCACTCGGGCTTCTTCACTCTGTCTAGGTCGTGCTGCGGATCCCTCAGCTGGGACAGATCGACGCCAGCCTCCTGACTGATCTCTGCCTGGGTTCTGTGACGCACAAAAAGGGGCTTCCCTCTCCACTTGAAAGCCATGTTCTTGCCTTCTGGAATGTCAGACAGCTTGATCTCGATCTTTGACAAGGCCAGCACGTCAGCAGAGGCACTCAGGCTGGAAATGAACTGGGTGACGACATTCTTGGCAACGTAGGCGGTTGCTACACCTGTGGCTGCAGTCATCAGGTAGGAGAAGCCCTTCCTGGAATCGCTGCTGCCCTGGGAGGAGGCGTTGGCATCCTGCACCTCCTGGCGCCGGTAGGCCGAGAAGTCGGGGACCGCCACATCGTTGTGGACACAGCGCGCGCCGGCGGGGGCTGCAGGAGAAGGACAGCAGGTGACACCCCTTGCAGGTAAAACACACTGTCACGCGTTTGGAATGATGCGTTCTTAGCGGCATTTTGGGAATAATGGGTAAAAGCTATTCCATAGTCTGCGTAGGGGGCCATTAGTTAAGTGTTTTCGTTTTAAGTTGTATGAAAATGGTTTTCAGAGGGAATTCACCAACAGGTGACCTGTGAAACTGGTTTCCCTATTCTTTGAAAAAGAAACATGATCAGGGTGCAGAAAATCTCTGAGAAGTTCTGGGCTTCTGGGGAAAAAAAGTGAACTGTTTTTTTCAGTAAATTTCAAGAAAAAACTCCAGAGGGATACCACGACTAGCTCAGAAAAGACAGACCTGTTTTCCATTCAAAAGTTTCCTTGTAAAGAGCTGCTAAGAAGAAACCTGAGGTAGTGAAGTTTGCACATCTGCAGTGTAACACTTTTGTGTGGTTTTTTTTTTTTTGTCTGAAGTAACTTCTATGCCTGCAATAATATTGTGTGGTTCAGCATTTTTAAAATTAAAAATATCAGGCATCCTCTTGAATATTAAAATGTCCTAGCTAAAAACCACAGTAAATAATTTTAAACCTCCAGACCCCAGGCTCACTTTTTAAAAGATTTAGGGATAAAGCTACAACTATCCAATTTCAAGTGGGATTTCCCCATCAAACCTGTGTGCTCAAGTAACAGGATATGAGGGATAACTAAAAGGCCTCCCATGAGTTTCTCCAGCAAAAGAAAGCTGCTTCCTCCACTGAAAATCTATAAGCTAAAGGAAAGAACATGGCAAGGACAGAACACATTACTTGCCAAAGTACAACCTGTTACTTGAAAAGTATTATTTACTCCTTATATTTTCTAGCACAAAGTTGGCCCAGAGTTAACAGATGTCTCAAAGTACTTAAGGCCTCAGGGATTTATATGCAGTACAATGAAGATAGTAACTACATTTATTTACAAGTAACTCAGCAATGAGAAGGTAATTGCTGTAGGATTTTAACTACAAAGAAATTAAATTGAAAATCCAAATTCTAGATAGTGCTCCATACTAAGTTATTTCAGTGTAAGACTTAAAGCATTTAGTAACATGTAATATGACTAACTTCTAAAAAAATTGCTATAGTCAGTGAAAGGCATGTTTGACATTAGTTGAAATGTAGAGCAGAGCTGAATGTCAGCTATGTCAGTTCCAGACTTGTAAAATTGTCACCTGAACAAACCCTTTACAGCTGAGGGTCAGGTGAAGTACACAGCTCCAAGTGCTCCGGAGCATCTTCAGCAGGGCACTGCCCTCCCAAATTAAATGTGTGCCCTCTGCAGAGCTGGCACAGCTCGGGGACAGCCACAGCCCCGGGCCACAGGTCGGGCTCTGGGGTGACCTCGGGGCCGCTCCCTGGCCGATGCTTTCCCGACCTGGCTAAAACACTCGGTGTGCACTCGCTGCACGCCTCTGTTCTGTGCCCGCAGTTAAAGCCCTTCCCCAGGGACAGAGTTTAGCTGCGTTTCCCCGGCGGTAAAACAGAAACCACCGGAGCTGTTCCCCCAGCGGCCTGGACACAATGCCGTGCTGGGCTGGCCCTGCCCGGGCAGAGCACACGCTGTGTCCGCATTCCGGGACTCACGCAAAGGGAGCCGCATCCAGCTGCCCTTGAGCCAGCTCCGTAGCTGGAAATGCGGGCCAGTCACAGCGGTGACAACACAGCCAAACACTCAGAACCCCGACCGGCCCGAGCCCCGCAGCCCCCGGCTGCTCTCCTCCTTTTCCCGGCCCTGCTCCCCCGCCCGCCGGGGCTGCCCTGAGGGGAGCGCGCGCCATGGAGGGCTTGGGCTCCTTTGCCTTGCCTCGTTCCTGTCTTTTCTTAATTTTTTTTCCCCCTTTTACCCACCTTTTATCCTTTCCCTTCCGCTCCTGCTCTCCGAGGTGCAGCTCTCCCTCGGGCTGTTCCCTGTGGCCCTGGGGAAGGGCGGGCCGTGTGCTGCGGGCCTGTCCCGCGGTCCCTGCTAGCCAGGCTCACTCAGAGCGGGGCGTTTCTTGTCTTTTTTGTGTGTGTGTATATGTATGTGTCCTTGGTAGTCCTGGAGCAGTTTCAAGTTGAGGAAAAAACTAGGTTCTTTTAGCTTGTCATAAATTGGTTTGGGGATAGATTTTACTTACAGTTTGACAAGGCAAAGCGTGTTTGACAACTGAATCCACTCCAGGGGCTGTTCTGGGGTGGGGGTTAATTGCCGGGGGACAGTAAATATATCACATAAATACATTGTATATGTGTATATATGTATCACTCTGGGTTAAAGGAGAGAACCACTCTACCACTAATGAAATAAATACCTGTTGAGTTTTTTGGAGGTTTGTTTTAGTTTTGGCTTTTTTTTTGCCTTAAATTACTTTATAATAGCAGTCTTACAGTTGACTTGTTGCAGCTTGCAATGGTAAGATTTGGTTTGGTGCAGGTGAATGCTGGTGGATGCATACCTGCCCCAGCCAACCCTTTTAACCAGTTCAAGCTCCTGGAAGTTCCCCAAAATGCAGGATAAACTTGACACAGAGATGTGTCTGAAGACATTTAGGCTGAACCATCCTCTAGAAATCCAACAACAATTTCCCAGCTCCCCAGCCCAGTCCATTCATGCAAGGCTGTGAAGCTGTAGTGGTTCATACTGGCTCTATGAAGAACTGTTCTTTTGAAATTCAGATCTTGCTAATGATATTGCTACTAAATTATTTTATGATTGTGCATAAAAGCCTCCCCCATCTTTGTGGAGTGGTAGTTTAAGGACTGGCCTTATTAAAATTTATTTAAGGGGTTGACCTTTTCATTTTCTTTTTAACTGTTAACTGTACTGAAATATGGTAGCTCTAATTAAGTGGGATGGATCACTCCAGTCCCAGTACTATTGATCTATAATTTATTTCTTTCCCAGCACGTTTGTGACATCTAAGCCTCAGTAGATAACGATTTACCCAACCCAGTTCACTGTACTGTTGGTAACTGTAGTCACTGGTGGTGCACTAATTAAAGGACACCATAATAATATTGTGGGGCAAAGGTAATTTGTAGAAACTCTGGGGGCTAACACTCAATATATGGGTGGGAATAAACAGAATTCAGGTTGAGAGGGCAAAAAACTGGGAAGGCTGTTTTAACAGCACAACTTTTATAATCACCATTTAGGAGGAAAAGAGCTGCAGAAACATGGTATTTTCAATTACCTAACAGATTATAGAATTACTGTAGAATCAGAATGTGCTGAATTGGAAGGGACCCTCAGGACCATTGAGCCCAGCTCCTGGCCCTGCTCAGGACACCCCAGGGTGCCACTGTTGTGCACACACGGGCTCAGCCAGGCTTGGAGCTGTGCCCCAGCCTCCTCCAGTGCCAGCCTCCCTTGGGCTGCCCAGCTTCTGCTGCTCTCCAGCCTAAACCTCCCCTGGGTCATTCCCTCAGGTCCTGTCACTGGTCACGGGCGTGGCAAGAGCTGGTCCTGCCCTTCTGCTTCTCCCTGTGAGACCACACCGAGCTCCCAAAGAGACCTGGTCCCAGCTGAGCCAGTGCTGCTACAGCTGAGGGAGACATTTTGTGGCTCACCATGAAAGTGAGCACTTTGGCTAATATTTATAGAAGGATTTGTTAACAGGCGTGGGGTTTGGGGGGTTTTTTGTTGGTTTTTGGTGGAGTTTTTCTAAGGATTCTGAGTTTTGGCAAAATGATGCCAGTTTGAATTTGCTAACCTGGTTTGGCAGATATGGCCTCATCCCAAACAATGTATTATTCTGACTGGGGGGGCTGTTCTCAGAGTTGTTTGGCAAAATGTGCCTGCTACTTGTGGAGCTTTTTGACAAAATGAGGTACTGTGATGGAACAGTAGTACTAGGACAAGGAGAAATGGCTATAAATTGCAAGAGGGGAAATATAGGTTAGATACCAGGAAGAAATTCCCTATTGTGAGAGTGGTGAGACACCAAAACAGGTTCAGGGAAGCTGTGGATGCCTCAAGCCTTGAAATGTCCAAGGTTGGAAGGAGCTTGGAGCAACCTGCTCTAGTGGGAGGTGTCCCTGACCATGGCAGATGGGACAAGATGATCTTTAAGGTCCTTTCCAGCTCCTTAACATTCATTCTATGATTATTTGGGAAAGAATGGTTGTAAATTTTTTAAAGACTTAAATCTTTTCAAATTCCAGTGTGGTTAGAACACAAGTAAAACATTAAAATATTACAGCAAAAAGGAACTACAGCTATCAGAGTTCAAAAAAAAGAATAATTTTAAAATGACTAAGCAAATTCTGGTGTGTAGGTGTTTCTTTGAGAACTGTTGTTCAGCTTGCATTGCTGAGCATCAATACTGAGCATTTGCCAGCCAAACATGAAAGTAAAATGCCAGCATGTCATTGTGTAAACCATCCAAACAGATCTCTGTGATTGTTTTTGTGCATTCATACAAGCATTAGCCTCATGTAAATTTATGCTGCTTAATGTTCCTGTCCTCCTAAAGTTAAAAGTTCATTTGCATCAATACAAAAGCTATAAGATGTCAGGGCTGCAGCATTATGAAGTAGATGAAAAGTATTGTAATGCTTTTGGGTATGTGCAGTGCCTTTCTCCATGTAAAATTCATTCTCGTGTTTGTTTTCCTTTGAGATAAACTGCAGAACTTGGATGGCTTTTTTTTGCTAAAATCTTGGTCACCCCAGGCAAGTTGATCTCACCAGAAAGTTATCTTTGAGTTCTTTTCCATCTTACATCATTTTTATGCCCTGAAAACTCAGTGCTACTAAACTTGAGACTTCAGGGTTTACATTTACTTCTTGGATTTGAATTGTTGATTTTTTTTTCTCCCTGAATAAGCTTGTTCAGAAATAGAAAAACCAAGACAAGCAAAGCACCAAACTTCACCTGTGAGGTGTTGTTAGTACAGCATTATTCATCAACTGCTTAGAGAAGTGCACCCTACTCTGAGAGCAGCTCCAAATGTCTGCAGTGGTTCCTTTGCAGAATTAATGTCCATTACAGTGATTTTGGTCTCGTGGCGTGGCACTGGGGAGGCTGTCTTATAAATTTGAAGATAGATTTGTGTATGCAATACAGTTTGTTTAAGGTTAAAATTATGGAGACCATTTAATAGTTGCACTTTCTTTGAATGTTCTTTGAAGTTGATCTATCACTTTGAAAAGTCACAGGGTGTGATCTAAGGGAGTATATATGAAATGTGAGGAATGAAAATGGACAGTAAAAATGAGGAAAAAAAATAGGAATATTTGATTGGTCAAACATTTCTCTCCTGCTACTCAAATTAGTTGAAATAACGACACATCAGTGCTACAGTCTAATCTAAATTCAGGTCTTTTTCAGTCAAGGAAGAACTAAGTTCAGGTATCATGAGGGAAGAAGAGATGTGCTGTCAGCTTTTTACTACTCTTTCTGTTAGTGCAGGGGTGATCAGCAGGTGTTCACAGCCTCAGCAGCCATCTTATTTATTCTGGATTTGTCAGCTTTTTACTACTCTTTCCATTAATGCAGGGTGATCAGCAGGTGTTCACAGCCTCAGCAGCCATCTTATTTATTCTGGATCTCTTACAGCCCTGCTCAGTAAGGCCAAGATAAATTCCTGGAGCAGAAGGGCATGGAATATCTCTTTCTGACATACTTGCACACAACATTTTGTGTATAAAATACTCAAATAAGAGATGCATACAAATAAAGTATATTTCTCTACTCTGCACAAAAAAAAAAAAATCTCAAAGCAAGAACATGAAGCATTCCATTGGGCAGAAAGAATGAGATTTTCTGAGTCAGTTGTAGAGAGGAAAGAACAACAACAACAACAACAAAAACCAAGGAAATTAAATTAAAAAGACCAAGCCTAAGATCTAAGATTACATCCAAGATTTACATAATTGTGGGGTGGACAAAAAGAGTGGTATGTATGTGAAATTGATAAGAGCTGCTCACACAAATGAGAAATGGCACCAAAAGGTGTCTGACCAAGCAGAATCCAAAGGCTAGATGAGAACTGCCTGGGGCAGCATCAAAGGCTGCTCAGCAAGGCAGCAGCTAAAGCCTAAATGAAGTTGCCTGGAGCATCATCAAAATGTCAGTTTGAGGGAGAATATTTTCTCCCTTCCTCTTGTTTTCTCTCTTACATTTCATGAAAAATCCCTGACATTTCTTGAAGGGCATGTGTTTGACTCCTATCTGGCTTCCATTATTTTATGTTATTTGCTTTTTATGGCACCTGAAGATGGAAGCAAAACTTTTCAGCTTCATGGCCATCTTTGACTAAAATCTGAAAGGCTGAACAAAGGAGGATCCTGGCTTCTTTTGCTTTGCTTATGTATTTCTTGCAGTTAATGCATTTGAAGAACTCCATGTTGTATCTGATGCCCAGCTGACAATGTTTGTGGGGCTGGGAATAAGAAATTCTCCCCTGAGCTGTGCATAGGAAGGGATGAGGAGGTAGTGCCACTTCCCAGTGTGCTGAATGTCACTGCCTGCCTTTGGCTGGTGAAACCCCAGGTGTGGTTTAAAGCTTTAGCAGTACGTGCTGTAACAACTCACTCTTCTGAGATTGATAGCAAATCTCTTACGGTTGCACAGTTAAGCACAAAGCTTA